TATTTAGAAGTCTACATCCTCAGGCCATGGAATTCACTTTCTTCTCAAGTGCACATGGCACATTCTCCAAGATAGATCACATACTGGGACATAAAGCAGCCCTCAATAAATACAAAAGAATTGAGATCATACCATGCACACTTTCAGACCACAACGCTATGAAACTTGAAATAAATCACAGGAAGAAGTCTGGAAAACCTCCAAAAACATGGAGGTTAAAGAACACCCTACTAAAGAATGAATGGGCCAATCAGACAATTAGAGAAGAAATTGAAAAATATATGGAAAAAAATGAAAATGAAAATACAACAATCCAAACTCTGTGGAATGTGGCAAAGGCAGTCCTAAGAGGAAAGTACATTGCTCTCCAGGCCTATTTCAAGAGATTAGAAAAAGCACAAGTCCAAAATCTAACAGTTCACCTAAAGGAGCTGGAGGGAGAGCAACAAGAGCACCCCAAACCCAGTAGGAGAAGAGAAATAGTAAAAATTAACAATATAGAAACCAAACAAACAATTGAACAGATCAATGAAACCAAGAGTTGGTTTTTTGAAAAAATTAACAAAATTGGCAAACCTCTAGCCAGGCTTCTCAAAAAGAAAAGAAATGCACTCAAATAGGCAAAATCATGAATGAAAATGGACTTATTACAACCAACCCCTCAGAAATACAGGCAATTATCAGGGAATACTATGAAAAATTATATGCCAACAAGTTGGACAACTGAGAAGAAATGTACAAATTCCTAAAAACACACTCACTACCAAAATTAGCATGGGAAGAGATAGAAGACCTAAACAGACTCATAACTAGTGAAGAAATTGAATCAGTTATCAAAAATCTCCCTACAAATAAGAGCCCTGGACCAGATGGCTTCCCTGGATAATTCTACCAGACATTTAAAACAGAATTAATACCCATTCTTCACAAGCTATTCCAAAAAATAGAAATCTAAGGAAAACTTCCAAACTCATTTTATGAAGCCAGCATCACTTTGATTCCCAAGACAGAGACCCAGCAAAAAAAGAGAACTACAGGCCAATATCCTTCATGAATACAGATGCAAAAATCCTCAATAAGATACTTGCAAATCAAATCCAACAGCACATAAAAAGAATTATCCACCATGATCAAATGGGATTCATTCCTAGGTTACAGGGCTGGTTCAATATTCACAAGTCAATCAATGTGATACGTCACATCAACAGAAGAAAAGATAAAAACCATATGATCCTGTCGATAGATGCAGAAAATGCATTTGAGAAAATACAGCATCTCTTCTTAATAAAGACCATCGAGAAAGTCGGGATAGAAGGAACTTACTTAACATCATAAAAGCCATCTAGGAGAAGCCCTCAGCTAACATCATCCTCAACGGGGAAAAACTGAGACCTTTCCCCCTGAGATCAGGAACACGACAGCGATGTCCACTCTTACCACTGTTGTTTAACATAGTGCTGGAAGTCCTAGCATCAGCCATCAGACAACAAAAGGAAATAAAAGGCATCAGAATTGGCAAAGAAGAAGTCAATCTCTCACTTTTTGCAGACGACATGATACTCTACAAAGAAAACCTGGCAGACTACACCAGAAGCCTACTAGAGCTGATCCATGAATTCAGCAAAGTTTCAGGATACAAAAATCAATGTAGAGAGATTGGTTGCATTTTTATACACCAATAATGAACCAACAGAAAGAGAAATCAAGAAACTGATCCCATTCACAATTGCACAAAAAGCATAAAATACCTAGGAATAAACCTAACCAAAGGTATAAGAGATCTGTATGATGAAAACTATAGAAAACTTATGAAGGAAATTGAAGACACAAAGAAATGGATAAACATTCCATGCTCATGGATAGGAAGAATAAATATAGTTAAAATGTTATTACTTCCCAAAGCAATCTACACATTCAATGTAATTCCAATCAAAATTGCACCAGCATACTTCTCAAAGCTAGAACAAACTATCCAAAAATTTGTATGGAACCACAAAAGANTCATCATCAAGACAGTATGGTATTGGCACAAAAACAGACACATAGACCAATGGAACAGAACTGAGAACTCAGAAGTGGACCCAAAAGTATACAGCCAACTGATCTTTGACAAAGCAGGAAAGAATATCCAATGGAAAAAAGACAGCCTTTTTAACAGATGGTGTTGGGAGAACTGGACAGCAACATGCAGAAGAGTGAAACTAGATCATTTTCCCACACCACACACAAAAATAAACTCAAAATGGATCAAGGACCTGAATATGAGACAGGAAACCATCAACACCCTAGAGGAGAAAGCAGGAAACAACCTCCTTGACCTCCACCGCAGCAATTTCTTACTTGACACATCCCCAAAGGCAAGGGAATCAAGAGCAAAAATGAACTATTTGGACCTCATCAGGATTAAAAGCTTCTGCACGGCAAAGGAAACAATCCATAAAACTACTAGGCAACCAACGGATGGGAAAAGATAGTTGCAAATGACATATCAGATAAAGGGCTAGTATCCAAAATCTATAAGTAATTCACCAACTCCACACCAGAAAAACAAACAATCCAGTGAAGAAATGGGCAGAAGGTATGAACAGACACTTCTCCAAAGAGGACATCCAGATGGCCAACAGACACATGAAACGATGCTCAGCATCCCTCCTCATCAGGGAAATACAAATCAAAACCACACTGAGATACCACCTCACTCCAGTCAGAGTGGCTAAAAGGAGCAAATCAGAGAACTCCAGATGCTGGCGAGGATGTGGAGACACAGACACTCTCCTACACTGTTGGTGGGAATGTAAACTGATTTAGCCCCTCTGGAAAACAGTGTGGAGGTTCCTCAAAAAATTAACACTAGAACTCCCCTATGACCCAGAAGTAACACTGCTAAGAATTTACCCAAGGGATCCAGGAGTGCTGATGCATAGGGGCACATGGACCCCAATGTTCATAGCAGCACTCTCCACAATAGCTAAAACATGGAAAGAGCCTAAGTGTCCATCAACAGATGAATGAATCAAGAAGATGTGGGTTATCTATACCATGGAATACTATATGGCAATGAGAAACAATGAAATCTGGCCATGTGTAGCTACATGGATGGACCTTGAGGGTGTTATGCTGAGCGAAATAAGTCAGGCAGAGAAGGACAGATACCATATGTTTGCACATATAGGAGGATTAGGAGGAACTTACTGGAGGACCATGGGTGAGAAGAAGGGGAAAAATAGTTGGGGAGAGGGAGGGAAACCATGATGGACTTGTAAATGCTGAGAACAAACTGAAGGCAGATGGGGTGGGGGGAAAGGGAAGAGGGGCGATGGGCATGGAGGAGGACACTTGTTGGGATGAGCACTGGGTGTTATATGGAAACCAACTTGACAATAAACTATTAAAATACATAAATAAATAAAAGTAAGAGTATTAAAAAAACAAATATTAAAAAAAAAACTTCAAAGAAGAAAAAGTAAGCACAGGAAGTTTTGGCAGAACGAGGTTACCTCTAACCTGGATAGATTGAAAACACCGGGATATATACTGTCAGACCAGGATTATATTAAGAACTGTCTTGATTTTATTTGGATCGTATTTGATATTTCTTTTTCTTTTTTCTTTAAAAAATTTCTTTTTAACGTTTATGGTTTGAAAGAGAGAAGGAGAGAGAGGGGAGGGGCAGAGAGAGAGAGACACACACACACACACAGAATCTGAAGCAGGCTCCAAACTCCAGCTGTCAGCACTGAGCTGGGAGTCGCAGGGGCCTCTAACCCACAAACCGTGAGATCATGACCTGAGCTGAAGTCCCACACTTAACCGACTGAGCCACCCAGGCGCTCCTTGATAAAACTTCAAAATGTGAAGGAGTGACATGAGAAACTCCCACCAACGTGGCTGACTTTGCGAAGGAACAAAAATCTACTCTAGGCATAAGTCTGGGAGCTACTCACAGTACCCTCTCCAGCACTTCCCCCTTCCGCTCCCACCCCTGCGGTCCTCTAAGGGTTTCCTCTCAATGGGGGAACATAACAGGAGTCCAGCCAAGAGGCGCCCTGCCTAGTAGTAGACACTGCAAGATACCAAGTCACGTTTCTTCCGTCCCTCTAGACCTTCTGTTAAGTCCGGTTCTGCGCTAGCCCTGTGAGTAAAAGAAGAATAAATGCCTGCAAAATTGGGAAGCCAGAGTTAGGCAAAAGAAAAAAAAAAAAAAAGAGCAGATCAAACCAGTAATTGTGGGGAAGATTTAACAGTCTTCATTTACATTCTACTTTATTTGGAACCCTCCTAGCAGCTCGATCAGTTCAAGAGACTAAACAGGTTCATGAAGAGGGTAAGCAGCTTGCTCCAGGTCACAGCAGTGAGTGCCCGAGGGGCCCAGGAGCCCCGGGCCCTCGGAGCGTTCCGGCCCTAACGCCCGGGCACGTGCCCTGGGCCCTCCAGGTCTCCTTCCCGTCCGTCCAGAGCACAGGTCGGCGCCGGGCGCACGGGGTCCAGCAGCGGGGTGGCGACCGCGTCCGCCCAAGGACAAGACACCCTGCGGCGTGGCACCGACCTCCGCCAGGCCTTCCCCTGCGCCCGCCACGACGGAAGGCGCGCCTTCGAGTAGGGGGTGGGTCGCGACCCGGCCACCGCGTGGCCTCGGGAACGGCCCTCCCAGCCCCTTTGGCCAACCCCCAGGCCCCGCGTCGCCCCGCCCCGGGGCCCAGCTCCCCCGCGGCGCGCCCGGCCCTGCCCGCCGCCCGTGCCCGGAAGCCTGGCGCCGCGCGCGCTGAGGCTGATCTGCGCGGCCGCGGGCGGTTGGTCCCGCCGCCCGTCTCACCAGTCGGCGCGAGTCCGGGAGACCTGGCGTCGAGGACCTCGCCGAGGGGGCGCCTCGCCGGGCGTCCTTCCCCGTCCCCGTGTGCCCGGAGCCTGGGGCCGCGGAGGCCGCCCGCCCCGCGGCAAGGGCGCGGGGCCGCGGGCGGACCGGACGGCTCGGTGCGCCAGCGCGGAGGCGCGCCGCGGAGATGGCCCCGACCCCCGGGCTGCCCACCCCGGGCTCCTCGCTGGTGCTGCGGGTGTCGTTCGTGGACGTGCGCCCCGAGGTGATCCCCGTGCAGCTCTGGGGCCTGGTGGGCGAGCGGCGGGACGAGTACCTGCGCCTGAACCGGGAGATTCAGGAAGCGGCGGCCACGCGGCGCCCGTGGGCGCTGGGCAGCGCCTCGGCCTCCCCCGGCGAGCTGTGCCTGGTGCAGGTGGGGCCCGTGTGGCACCGCTGCCGCGTGGTCAGCCGGCAGGCGCAGGACAGCCGCGTCTTCCTGCTCGACGACGGCCGCACCGTCGCGGCGGGCGCCGACTCCCTGGCGCCGGGGCGCAGCGACTTCTTCCACCTGCCGTCCGAGGTGCTGTGCTGCGTGCTGGCGGGCCTGGTGCCCGTGGGCGGCGGCGGCGCGGGCGGCGGCGAGCCGCAGCACTGGCCGCCCGCTGCCGTGGACTTCCTCGGCGGCCTGCAGGGCAAGCAGGTGCACGGGCGCGTGCTGGACGTGCTGCTGCTGCATCGCCTGGTCCTCCTGGAGGCGCCCGAGCTGGCCCAGCAGATGCAGGAGCTCGGCCTGGCCCGGCAGGTGCCCGACAGCCTCTTCCGCTCGCTGCTCAAGCGCTACCTGGCGGCGGCCCCTGCCAGCACGGGCTCGGGAGCCGGGGTCCTCCCGCGAGTCCCCTGCAAGCAGGAGCACCTTGGCCTGGATTATTTCTACCCGCAGCTGCAGCTGGGCGTGACGGAGCCGGTGGTGGTAACCCAGGTGTGCCACCCCCACCGCATTCACTGCCAGCTCCGGAGCCTCTCGCAGGAGATCCACCGCCTGTCCGAGAGCATGGCGCAGATCTACCGGGGTTCCACGGGGATGGGGGATGAGAACTCTACCAGCGGCCCCCAGGAGGAGAGGGAGGAGAGCCCAGACAAGCCTGGCTCTCCATGTGCATCCTGCGGCTTGGACGGACATTGGTACAGAGCTCTCTTGCTTGAGACCTTCCGGCCCCAGCGCTGTGCCCAGGTGCTCCACGTAGACTACGGAAGGAAGGAGTTGGTGAGTTGCAGTAGTCTCCGCTACTTGCTGCCCGAGTATTTTCGAACGCCCGTGGTGACCTACCCCTGTGCCTTGTATGGACTCTGGGACGGTGGCAGAGGCTGGTCTCGGTCACAAGTTGGTGAGCTGAAGGCACTGATCCTGGGCCAGGCGGTGAATGCAAAGATTGAATTCTACTGTTCGTTTGAGCACGTGTATTACATCACTTTGTATGGAGAAGATGGGATCAACCTTAATTGTGTATTCGGAGTACGGTCCTGTTGCTTGGCCGACCGATTCCTGCAGAGCCGGGGGATGGAGGAGGAGGAGGAGGAGGAAGACGACCGACAAACAACAGCTCTTCAGTCTCAGTCTCCTGCTGAAGAAGCGGATGAAGAGATTCCACTCCCAGCCTTAAGATCCACCAGGCTAAAGATCAACGCCTTCTATGACGCCCAGGTAGAGTTTGTTAAAAATCCTTCGGAGTTTTGGATTCGGTTGAGGAAGCACAATGGCCCCTACAGCAAGCTGATGAAGAGAATGTGCAGTTTCTATTCCTCAGCAAGTAAGCTGGAGGGTGTAGTGTTGAAACCTGAACCTGATGACCTTTGCTGTGTCAAGTGGAAAGAAAACGGCTATTATCGGGCTATGGTCACCAGACTGGACGACAGGAGTGTGGATGTATTCCTAGTTGACCGTGGCAGTTTGGAAAACGTGGATTGGTATGACGTGAGGATGCTGCTTCCTCAGTTTAGGCGGCTGCCAGCACTGGCTCTGAAGTGCACGTTGGCCGATATTTGGCCTTTGGGGAAAAGTTGGAGCCAGGAGGCAGTTTCCTTTTTTAAAAAGACTGTGCTCCACAAAGAATTAGTTATCCATGTCCTTGATAAGCGGGATAAGCAATACGTTATTGAGATTCTTGACGAATCAAGAACAGGGGAAGAAAACATTAGTAAGGTAATTGCTCAAGCTGGGTATGCCAAGTATCAGGAATTTGAAGCAAAGGAGAACATTCCCGTAAGTGCCCATTCTCCAGGGCCTGTTTCAAACCATTTCACTGCTGAGAATAACAAAGTCGCTCCTGTCAAGAAGGCAGAGGTGGAACAGGAAGCCAAGAGAGACGACAACAGAACTACCTCGGTTTCAGAAATTGTGACTGATCCACCAGTCGCTACAGATATCCCAACTGGACTGGTTATGCAAGAAAAAGAGAAGAGAGAGTCTGTTTATTCTCCTCTTATGCAGAATTTCCTGGAAGTTAAGCCAGGCTCTTGTAAAGGAGAGCTCCAAGTTGGGAGTACAGTAGAAGTCAAAGTGTCTTATGTTGAAAACCCCGGCTGCTTCTGGTGCCAGCTGACCAAGAATATTCAAGGCTTTAAAACGTTGATGTGTAATATCCAGGACTACTGCGAGAATACAGCCGCTCCCTACCAAGGGACAGCCCCCGCTTGTCTGGCAAAACGAACAGGAAACGGAAAATGGTGCCGAGCTGTGATACGTGGGCCACAGTCTTCAGAGCACGTCCAAGTAATGTTTGTGGATTATGGAGACAAAGATATGGTAGCTGTGAAGAATATTTACTCAATTAATGAAGAGTTTCTCAAGGTTAAGGCTCAGGCTTTTCGGTGCAGTCTTTATAATTTAATTCAACCAACTGGTCAAAATCCTTTTGCTTGGGATGAGAAGGCAATCCAAGCTTTTACTGAATTTGTAGACAACGCATGGGAAGACAATCTCGAATTAAAATGCACAATATTTGCTTTGGCTTCAACGCACAATGAAGAGCTGTTTAACATCGTAGATTTGCTAACACCCTTCCAGAGTGTGTGCCATTTTTTGGTAGAAAAGAGACTTGCACGGCCAGTTAAATTTCAGAAGCCCCTGGAGTCCTCCATTCAGCTACATTCTTACTACTATTCGACACACGATATGAAAATTGGCAGTGAAGAATTGGTGTATATAACACACGTTGATGACCCTTGGACATTTTATTGCCAGCTGGGAAGAAATGCAAATATTTTAGAACAGTTGTCCTGTAGCATTAAACAATTAAGTAAAGTTCTACTGAATTTAAAAACATCCGCCTTGCTGCCCGGAAACTTGTGCCTTGCCAAGTACACTGATGGAAACTGGTATAGGGGGATAACAATAGAAAAAGAACCAAATAAAGTCTTTTTTGTTGATTTTGGCAACATTCACGTGGTAACAAACGATGATCTGCTTCCAATACCTAGGGATGCGTCTACTGTCTTACTTCTGTCCATGCAAGCTGTTAAATGTTCGTTGTCTGACATACCTGACCATATACCAGAAGAAATCACAGCATGGTTCAAGGAGACTGTTTTGGATAAGTCATTGAAGGCTTTGGTTGTAGCAAAAGATCCAGATGGAAGACTGATTATCGAACTCTATGATGAAGGTATTCAAATCAACGCGAATATCAATGAGAAGTTAGTGTTACTTGGCTACAAAAAAGGGACAAGAAAAAAACGAGAAAGCAAAAACCTCCTCGCTGCAACAGAAACCCTTGAAGTAAAGAAGGAAAATCTGAAGCTGTCACCTACAGGGTATTTAAGGAAATCAGTAGAGGACTCTGCATTATGTAGTCTGGAGACCTTGGAAGCATCACACAAATCTAAGACCAGCCCAACACATCAGGAAACCAAGCTTTTACGAAGTTCGACAAACTTAGTCACTCAGTATCAGGACTCTGTGGGACATAAAGATAATCAAGTGTGTCCATTCACAACCGAGAAAAAAGAAGAAAGTTCTGCCGAGCCACCTTTGAAAGCCACAAGGCTAGAAGCTACCCTTTCAGAGAGAAACATAGGAGATTCGTATCACAAAGGTTTGCCTCTAAAATTTTCTGAGCTCCCTCAGAAGGTTATAATGCCTGGCTTTAAAACAGTTGTCTATGTTTCCCATATAAATGACCTTTCAGACTTTTATGTTCAACTAACAGAAGATGAAGCTGAAATCGCTAGTCTTTCAGAGAGATTAAATGATGTTAGGACCAGGCCAGAATTTTATTCAGGGCCACCTTTGCAGAGAGGAGATGTGACATGTGCCGTTTTTCCAGAAGACAATTTATGGTATCGTGCTGTGGTCAAGGAACAAGGACCCAGTGACCTTCTCTCTGTACAGTTTATAGACTACGGCAACGTTTCCGTGGTCCACACTAACAAGATAGGTAAGCTGGACCTTATTAACACACTGGTACCAGCACTGTGCATCCACTGCTCCTTGAGGGGACTTTGGGTTCCTGAGATTTTAAACTGTAAGGAAATGATGCATTACTTTTCCCAAAGGACAGATGAGGTTCAAGTAAGATGTGAGTTTGTTCAATTTCAAGACAGGTGGGAAGTTATTCTTGCTGATGAACATGGGCTCATAGCAGAAGACATGATTAGCAGATATGCTTTCTGTGGAAAATCTCAAGTAGGACTTTCTAACCAAATAATGATAGGTGCCTGTTCAAAGTCTGTCAACAAAACAGACATGGACACTTCACTATTTCTTAACTGGTACGATCCAAAGATCAAGATGATAAGAGCATATGCCACTGTGATAGAGGGACCTGAGTATTTTTGGTGTCAGTTTGCTGATACTGAGAAACTGCAGCTTTTAGAAGTAGAAGTACAAACTGCTGGGGAACAAGTAATGAGTTGGAGAAGTTGTGTCCCATGCCCTCATATTGGAGATCCTTGCATAGTGAGATATAGAGAAGATGGGCATTATTATAGGGCACTTATCACCAATATTTGTGATGATTATCTTGTATCTGTCAGACTTGTGGACTTTGGAAACATTGAAGACTGTGTGGACCCCAAAGCAGTCTGGAATATTCCTTCTGAACTTTTGGTGGTTCCCATGCAAGCCTTTCCATGTTGCCTCTCAGGATTTAATATTTCAGAAGGTGCGTGCCCTCAAGAGGGAAATGACTATTTTTATGAAATAGTAACAGAAGATGTGCTGGAGATAACAATATTAGAAATCAAAAGGGATGTTTGTAATATCCCCTTAGCAATTGTCGACTTAAAAAGCAAAGGCAAAAGTATTAATGAGAAAATGAAGAAATATTCTAAGATTGGTATTAGTAACAGCAATCTGCCCTATGAAGAAAGTGATCCAGAAATAAAGGGAGCTCTTGGGTCCCTCAGTCCTGAGGTTGGATTTAAGAAAGCAAGAAGTAAAGCTGGACAAGAGAAAACACAGTATGTGGAATCACAGACAGATGAGCTCTCTGAAAGAATTGAAAAAGACTTAAACACTATTGAAGCCAAACCAACTAAATTCTATGACCCTGACCCTGACAATGTTTTTGAAGCTTTCACAGACCCATGCAAAGATGAAATTGGCATTGAGATACTGGAAGATAAAAGAGAGTCCCGTCTGGTTGGCAAAGCAAAGTTTGATGATAAATACCTCATGACAGGATTTAGCACATTACTACCGCAGGCTAGTGAAACAAAGGAGATATTAGAACTGAACTCTCTCGAGGTGCCGCTTTCTCCCGATGATGAATCAAAAGAGTTCCTGGAACTGGAATCCATTGAGTTACAGCATTCTCCAGTCGGGGAAGAGCCAGAAGAAAAAGAAAAGCCAGGCCTGGAGCCTCCATTTGTGCCCTTACCCCAAGGCTGTGACACAGAAGCCACCCTACATACATTTACAGTGCAGCTTCCCCTCAACTGTGAATCTGAGAAACAGCCAGAACTAGAGTTACCCACAGCCCAGCTGTGTTTGGATGACAAAATGAACCCTTTGTCTCTAGTAGTTGGTCAGAAAGCCCAAGATCCCATGTGTGCCGAAGACACAAGGAAGTCAAGTTGTGTAGAACGTTCTGAGGACCAGCCTAGCCTACCCTTGCATCTACACGAGAAGAATTGCGATCCCAACATGCAAATTGAAATGAATATATATAAAAAAGAATTTACAGATCATAAAAACAGAGATGCCATTTCATCATCGACTTTGTTCTCTGAAGAAGAATCCAGAGATGGAAGGAAACACAATAATGCTTTACAAGATCATGTCTCAGGTATGTACTTTCTTTTACTTAACTTAGTGTCTTTCAAAAATACTTATTTGTCTTAAAGATAATAATTCTTATTTATTTTTTGTCTTGTGGCTTTTTTAACGTTTTGAGGAAAACATTAAAACCTGAAGAGAATCAGATTTAGATTTCAAGAAGACCATTTCAAATGTGGGGAGATTGAGTTGTGAAATCAATGTAGAACCATGCTTTCTAGGCTGGGTGAAATGCTAAATTATTGCATTGCATAGGGATCAATTTGGAGAGTTTTCAAAGTTAACCGTTTTGTTTCATGCATATACCTTATCCTTTATTTAGAAACCCCTACACAAATGGTAGATTTGGGGAGCTTATATTAACCAACAAAACATCCGTGAGTAAACATTGGAGAATATTTATTATGATTAACTTTTTAAATAAATTGCATGCGTTGCTATTTTCTTGATCATAAGATTTAAAAGTTACATGAAATGGGGGCACCTGGTGACTCGATTGGTTGAGCATCCAACTCTTGATTTTGACTCAAGTCATGATCCCAGGGTCATGGGATGGAGCCCCATGTCTGACTCCACACTGAACATGGAGCCTGCTTAAGATTCTCATGCTCTAAATAAATAAATAAATAAATAAAGTTACACTAAACACCTTTTAGGGTTTTTTAATAATCAATGTTAGACTTTATATTTCAATTTTTATTTTATTATTATTATTTTTTTAATATGAGAGAGAGAGAGAGAGAGAGAGAGAGAGAATGAGAATATGTGTCCTGGGGGGAGGGGTAGAGGGAGAGGAAGAAAGAGAATCTTAAGTAGGCTCCATGCTCAGCACAGAGCTCAATCCCAAAACCCGGTGATCATGACCTGAGCCAAAATCAGGAGTCAGATGCCGAGCCGACTGAGCCAGACACCCCTATATGTCAATTTTTGATTATTAAATTTGAGCCATCATATGAAATAGAGAAAACAGTAGTCTAGGGAGAATGAAAATCTCCCATATCACCGTAATCTTACCACTGTTAAGGTTGCAGTGCACTTCCTTCCTGTTGTCTTTCACCTTGTGTGTGTCTATTTACATACAGTTTAAAGAACTAAATAGAATCATATTATCAGAGTGTTGAATCCTGCATTTTAATCCCTTAAATATGCTTTCTAAATATTGTACTTCTATAGTATTCCATTCTGTGGCTATACTATAATTCACTTAGTCCTCCTTGCCACACTTTAATAAGAATAAGTAATAGCTTTGTGATAAAAATGTCCTTTAATTTGTACTATGCTGCTTCATACTAAAGACATGGCTGTTGTAACCATAGACCACATCACATGTGGCAACGATAACAGCTTCTAATAGTGCATTTCAAAGTCAGGAATCAGATTCATATTCTTAAAAGACACATCATATCACAGTGGTGTTTTCTGAAGAAAGCAATAAGGAATTATATATTGGGAAAGGCCACTGGAAGAATTTAAAATAAAATCCAGGAAAAGAGACAGACTCAGACCATCCATGACCTTGATTGTATAGGAATAGGAAATGCAGATAAGAAAATGCTTTGCTTGTGTGTTTAAGATCAAGGGATTAAGAAGTATGCACTGAGTCTTTATTCAATTTGGCAGCTCAGCCAGAGAACATCTACACTCTGAAAGGATTTGCTGTTGGATCCAAATGTGTTGTGTGGTCAAGTGTAAGAAACACATGGTCTAGATGTGAGATTCTGGAAATAGGTGAAGAAGGCACAAGGGTAAGTGAAATGGAAGCACTTTATCTCAAAAGATACTTGGAGACTATTAAGGAAATCTTAGCAAACTTTACCAGACTAGAGAATGCAATTGAACAGATGTTTACCTTACCATTCCCCCTGGTAATTTGGTGCAGTGCAAAAATCATCTCAAAGTTCATATACACGCATCCTAGGAAGAAATCATCCCCGGCTCTTTCATCTCCCTTGGCTCTTAAATCCTATCCGTCACCAAATTCTATGCTTTCTGTTTCTTATCTCATAGTTAAAACTTTTCATACTTAATGCCACTGCCTTGATTTGAAGTCCCTTATTTTACAACTAGATTATACTCTAATAATCTTCTATGTTGGTTTACTTCTTCTAGTCTTCCTTCAGTCCTTCAGTTGATTCTCTACACTACCAGTGTGAAATCTGACGACAGCATTCCTGTGGGTAAAACTTGTTGGGGATTCCAGTTGATTGTGTTTCTCCTACGGTCAAAAAACCCCCCACCTGTATCAGAATCACCTGGTGGGTCTCTTAAACTGTAGATTCCTGGACCTTGCCCTGGCTGGCTAATTCAGAATTTCTGGGGGTAGAACCAGGAATGTGCATTCTTATACCATTAAAATTGGAGAGCCACTGGTCTAGGATGGAAAAGCCACACTCATTAACATGGCATGGTCCTGAAGGTCCTCTAGGGCTGAGTGTTCATATTCTTCTCCAGTCTTAGGTTTACTCATTTATCTTTTGTACCTTACATTATATAGACATCAAATTGCTTGTTCTCTCTTATATATATCATTCCACGTGGTTTCTTTGATATATTTAATAATGCAGCTCTAGTCACTTATACTCTATCCCCCTCCCAAACTGGCTAATTTTCACTTTTATTTTTATTTTTTCCTTGGAGAGAGGAGAGGGAGAGAGGGGCAGAGGGGCAGAGAGAATGAATCTTAAACAGGCTCCATGCTCAGTGTGGAGCCCGATGCGGGGCTTGATCCCATGACCCTGGAATCACGGCCTGACCTGAAATGAAGAATTGGACTCTCAACCAACTGATCCACCCAGGTGCCCCAATTTTCACTTATTTTTGGAAAATTTTCATTTTAATTTTGCATCTTCATCTTCATTTTCATTTTGCATCTTCATTTTCACTTTGCCTCTTCCAGGAAGCATTCACTAGCATTATTTTCTAAATCTCAACATCTCTTCACCCTCCCCACCCAGCAAAAATCCTTTATACCTATATTATATTCCCATTCCTGTGGCTACAGAGGTCTGTACTTACTACATTGTAATGATCTGCTTAGAGGTCCATTTCTCCACAAAATTTTGAGCTTCTTGAGATCTCATTTTTAGCTATCTTTGATATCTAGGCATAGATACTCAATACGTTTTTTGAACAGAAGTTCTATTGAGTTAAAACATAAAATTGAAGTTTAATAAAATTATTTTCATTGCCTTTTCAGGTATTTCATTTGAAGGATTGCTGTGGTTCATTAATCAGTTACAGTTTTTGGAAACTACCAATTTTTATTAAATATCTTTTTTCTCTTTTAGGTTTTGAACGTTTCAAATGGTATGGAGGAGATAGTGAACCCTGAGAATGTCTGGAATGGCATACCCAAATTAGATAAGAGTCCATCTGAGGTATGGAATGATATAAATACTAATTAATGAGAACATTGTCTTTAATTTTTAAAGGTAATTTATTTCCAAAGCCCTTGTGTTTGGGAGTAATTGAGAAAAAAATACTAATACTGGAATTGATGACAATGAAAAACAGCAATAACAAAATCAGTGATTCTGGACTTTATGCCAAGTATCCCTTTGGACAAACTAGTTATTAATGTTTTATATCTTGACTTGGGGGGGAAAGGGGGATATTAAACATAAAATCATTTAGTGCCTGAGACCTTTATAAACTATGTTTGGTGTAGAAAATCTGGAAAAATGGCAAATTTGATTCAGAGAAAGTACTTATCCCCTATAATCCATCAATCCAAGACAAAGAGATTAATCAGTTTCATTTCATAAGTTTTCTGTTTATATGGAATGTAGGCATATCATCTACATATTTTGCACATAATTGATTTGATTCTACATACAGTTTTATATCTTGTGTTCTTGATTTAAAATTACATAGTGGGGGTGCCTGAGTGGCTCAGTCGGTTAAGCATCCGACATCTGCTCAGGTCATGATCTCACTGCTCGTGGTTTTGTGCTCCTCATCAGGCTCTGTGCTGACAGCTTGGAGCCTGGAGCCTGCTTCAGATTCTGTGTCTTCCTCTCTATCTCTGTCCCCCGCCCCCCTTCTCTCTCTCAAAAATGAATAAATGTTAAAAAAAATTAAAAAATATAAAATAAAATAAATTACATAGTGGGCAATTTCTCATGCCATTATAATATCTGGGCATTTGAATTTATTCTGTTTGGCATTTGTTGAAGATTTTACTTTAAAATATGTATCTGAGAGTTCCAATATCTGGTCATCTCAGGGCTTGCCATCTACTGCTCGCTTTGAAATATGGTTAACTTTCCCCAGTTCTCTGTATGTTGAGTAATTTTGGATTATGTCCCAAATGTTTTAAATATTATGTTGCAAGACTTTGGATCCTATTAACATTTTTTAGAAAATATTGAAGTTTTTGTTTTAGCAGGTGGTCAACCCAATTGGGTTCATACCACCAAGTTCTGCCCCTCTTTGTTTGTTGTTTCCAACAACAGTTCAGTTTTCAAAGACTTTGCTTTGGTGTTGGGTCTGCCCAGAGCATAAGCCTCTCAGGAACTTAGGTAGCAGTTTATATAGTAGATCAGCTATTAAAGACTGCTATGCTGAGTTGATCCTCTTTTGCATATGCAGAGTTCAGGGTTGACCTTGGGATTTATATCAGTTCATATACAGTATTAGGGGTTCATATTTTTCAGTTCCTTTTCTCTCTGAGATTTCCTCCACACATGCTGGACTCAAGGATCTTCTTTATTATTATTATTATTATTAATTCTTATTATTATTTTAAATGTTTATTTTTGAGAGACACAGAGTGTGAGTGGGGAAGGGATAGAGAAACAGAGGGAGACACAGAATCCAAAGATAGGCTCCAGTTTCTGAGCTGGAGGCTCAGAACTCATTAACTGTGAGATCATGACCAGAGCCAAAGTTGAACGCTTAACCGGCTGAGCCGCCCAGGCACTCCTCAAAGATCTTCTTTAATCCAGCTCCTAGGGGCCCTTTTTCTTGCTCCTCTAGACAGAGAGCATGTTTCTCAAGATTTTCTTCTTTGCTAACATGCAGTTCTATTTGACCGAGCCTGCCTCTGGAGTGAAGCAGAGAGAAAAAAAAAAAAATTATCCCCACCCCCGTTTTTCAGACAGCAAATGGCCCTTTTCCTGTCCCACTGGCCAGAGTCTTCTCTCAGACTTTCAACTGGGGCTGCTCTCATGACAGGGCCAGAAGGAAAATAAGAAAAATAGTGAAGAGATTTCCCACCCATTCCTTACTTTCTAGCTTTCCCTCCAAGTGTTGCTGTTTCCCCTGGCTGGGCAGCTCTGATCTGGTCCAGCCTCAAGTCAAAACTATGAGACAGAGAAGGAAAAAATAAGAAGGGAAAGAAAGGAAAGGAATGGAGTGGAGAGGAGAGGAGAGAAAAAGGAAGGAGAGGGGAGGATGAGAAGGAAGGAAGGAAGGAAGGAAGGAAGGAAAGAAGGAAGGAAGGAAGGAAGGAAACATCTGTGAATCCACCCCTGCTATGAGACATTATTCAGGTTTTTACTTCAGTCCTCAATCTGCCTGTTCCTATTTAATTTTCAGGGCCCACAGCTGCTTTTCGTATACTTTCCAGAATGTTTAGTTGTAGTACGTATAAAAGAGGCAGGCTCTAGTCAGCCTACTCCACCTTGGCTGCAACCAGAAGGCCATAGTGGTATAATCTTAGAGGACACAAATGGTCGGTCATTTGTTGAGTCATTTCTCATAGTGATGCACATTTAGGTCCCTTGAAATTTTTCCACTAAAGAAAAAACATCTTTCTTCACCTTCTTCTATTAATTTCATGTTTTTGTTTACTTGTCAAAAACAAAAGCTTATTTCACTCCGGTTGCATCAGTATTCACTAAAACTTTTTCTTTTCTCTTCTGATCTTTTCCATTCATTACTTTACAAGGATCCACAGCCAAATGCATAGATATATACGTATGGGATTCTATTTGGATAAACTACCTTACACCTGCCAAATAGAAGAAAAAACTATGTAAGGCAACTTAGAATGTTCATAAAATAGTATAGATATAACTGGCTTTTCATCAGTTAGCAAATATACAAGTTACTTATGGATAAGGCTTTCCTTTTTAAAATCTGGTCATTAATGAGATTTAAACGATCCTTTCCTCAAATTTGAAGAACCTCTTAGATATGTGTCTACAAATAATTTGGCTTTCCTTTGAAAGTGGATATTGTGAGGTATTAAATTATGCATGACTTTTTTGGTCAAGTCACTGTGATCTGGGAGTCTTTCTGATTTTTTAAGAATTATTTTTGTATCTGAGGGATTTCATTCTATTGTAAGAATATGTCTCATGAATCAATTTCTGTATAGATGTCATGCATACACACAATGCTATTTGTTGAAAGGAATATAGGAGAACTATCCCTCTCCAGTAAGCCTTTGATAAAGGATCTGTGGCTCACCACGGAAAATGTATTTGAATAGAGACCCTTTGAAAAAGGCATCAGAGTTGTGGAGATTGAGGCTAAAAATTGGAAAAGGGTCCTTTACTCCCTGTGTGGGATGTTCCAGCAGAGTGTTCCAGAGAAATGAGTATTAGAAGGATAGAAAATGTTCTTGGGTGATTCTTCACTACAAAACCAGATTGCCATACTTTCAAAAGGCTTAGTTTTTCATCATTTACCATTTTTTTTCTGGTTTACCTGTGACCCCCTTTCTGATTTTAATCATCTTGTGTCTGTAACAAAGAATTGGTGGTAATCTGAAGGCTCCTTTGGATAGGCTATATTCCAAACAGTGGGAAACGACCTTTACTTCATGTCATTGGATTATACTACAATTGAAGGTAATTTGAGTTCTTAAAAGAAGGTAACTTCTATTAACAGATTGCCAAGTGTTCAGGGTACCCTTATTCTGAATCCTCAAACAAAAATGGTTTATCAGTTTCCTTGGATGTTAGTAGTAGAAAATAAATAAAAACTTTTTAGCTAAAAATGTTAAATAGGCATCTGGGGATAAATAACCAAGAAGAGGGTTTCTTTAAATATAGAAAATTTGCCTGTTGGTTGAATTAATCTTGAAGGCTAAATTGTGAATATGATAAATTTATATTTTAAAGAATTTAAAAAATTTTCTTAGTGTTGACTAGCTCATACATTCAAGTGATCTTCATACGTTAAATGATCTTTGAAATTTCTTTTAGCTTTTAGTTTATCTCGTGATAGGATTCAATTTGTTGGAAGTTACTGGTTATTGCATTATGTTGTTCATAAGAAGCACATCGGTCTTTAGAACTGAAGTACATTGAGAATGAACTCAGCTCTTGGTGGCTTTACTATTATTTGAAAAATACATACTAATGAAAGAGAACAAAAGACTATGCAGGTATCAGCTTTAACATCATTCTACCAAATTTTAAGTATGTCGGTATTATAGAGAAATTTTGTTTGATAATAGGAAGAGTGTGAGAACCAAACTACTAGAAGGAAAGAAAAACAATTTCTGTAGGAATAATTCCCCATAGAATAATTCTCACATTTTGAGAAGGCATTACGTTTGTTATGGTAGAACCCGTGTTGTTTTTCTTTCTCAACTTGAGGTTTCTCTCTCCCTCTCTCTCTCCCTCCCTCGCTCTCTCTTTTTTTCTTTTTTTCCAGAAAAGGGGTCTGGAGGTGGTATAGACTTAACTGTGGATCCATAGACGTGGCCAGTCCATCTGAGACTACCCTTAAACATGTGGCATCTTACCCAGACCGACAGATTATTTGAGCAAGTCAAGAGCATATAATCATAAGAAGTTGTCATTTTCAAAAACTTTGATACGTGTTGACAACAAAATAGATCTCAGGACGACTATGCAGTGTATTTATAGTGGTATTGAGGTACATATGGATCTGGGATCTTTCTTTTCCCTTTAAATATGTTATGTTTCTAATCAGGGGGGTTTATTTTGCTAAACAAGTTGCTAACACATTACTCAAACAAGTTGCTAACACATTACTCAAATTAAAAAACCCTACTTTTGTTTCTTTTGAATACAGTGTTTAAATTAAAATAGAAAATTATAGGTTTATGACAAATATATGATACTACTTAGAGAGACGGATTTATTAGCAATAGCTTTCAGATGTTTTGTTTTGTTTCTGAAGCTTTGCCTTGTCTGTCTAGTCAGCATTTGATTAATATTCTGTTTGATTTTGGAAATATTCTAATATGACATAGATTTGAATAAAGTTTCTCCTTAATGGTGTGGTAATCTCATTTTATTATAAAGGAGAGGTGCTGGGGTGGCTCAGTCAGTTAAGCGTCTGACTCTGATCTTGGCTCAGGTCATGATCTCACAGTTCCTGAGATCAAGCCCTGCACTGGGCTCTATGCTGATTATGCAGAGCCTGCTTGGGATTCTCTCTCCCTCTCTCTCTCCCCTTCCCCCACTTGTTCTCTCTCTGTCTCTCCCCTCACTCCATAAATAAATAAATAAATAGACTTAAAAAAAATAAAAAGGAAATATGATGCAGCAAAGGCAGTCACAAGAGGGAAGCATATAGCAACCCAGGCCTTCCTAAAATGGAAGAAATGTCTCAAATATACAACCTAACCTTACACCTAAAGGAGCTGTAAAAAGAAATAGAAAAAAAGCCCAAAACCAGCAGAAGAAGGGAAATAATAAAGATTAGGGCAGAAATCAATGATATAAAAATTAAAAAAAAAAAAAAAAACCAGTAGAACAGATCAACGAAACTAGGTGTGGGTTCTTGGAAAGAAGTAACAAAATTGACGAGCCCCTAGCCAGACTTATCAAAAAGAAAAAGGAAAGGACCCAAAATAAATCAAATCACAATGAAAGAGAGCAGATCACAACCAACACCGCAGAAATACAAACAATAATAAAAGAATATTATGAGCAATTATATGCTAACAAATTGGGCAGTCTGGAAGAAATAGATAAATTCCTAGAAACATATGGGCTACCAAAACTGAAACAGGAAGAAACAGAAGATTTGAACGGACCCATAACCAGTAAAAAATGGGTCAGTAATAAAAAACCTCCCAACAAACCAGTCCAGTGCTGGATGGCTACCCAGGGGAATTCTACCAAGGTTTAAGGAACAGTTAACACCTACTCTTTTGAAACTGTTCCCAAAAATAGAAATGGAAGGAAAACTTCCAAACTCATTCTATGAGCCCAGCATTACCTTGATTCCAAAACCGGACAAGGATCCCCCTCTAAAAAGAATTACAGACCAATTTCCTTGATGGACATGGATGCAAAAATTCTCAACATGGTACTAGCAAACGAATCCCACAATATATTAAAAGAATTATTCACCACGATCAACTAATTTCTTCCCGGGCTGCAGGGGTTGTTCAATATCTACAAATCAATTAACATGATACATCCCATTAATAAAGGAAAGGATAAGAACCATATGATCCTCTCAATAGATGGCGAAAAAGCATTTGACAAAATACAACATCCTTTTTTTTTTTTTTTTTTTTTTCTTTTTTTTTTTTTAATGTTTTATTTATTTCTGAGAGAGAGAGAGAGAGACAGTGTGAGCAGGGTAGGGTCAGAGAGAGAGGGAGGTACAGAATCTGAAACAGGCTCCAGGATCTGAGCTAGCTGTCAGCACAGAGCCCGACGCGGGGCTCGAACCCACAAACTGTGAGATCATGACCTGAGCCGAAGTCGGACGCCCAACCAACTGAGCTACCCAGGTGCCCCTACAACATCCTTTCTTGATAAAAACCGTCAAGAAAGTAGGGACACAAGGATCATACCTCAATATCATAAAGGCCATGTACAAAAGACTCACAGCTAGTATCATCCTCAATGGGGAAAACTTAGAGCTCTCCCCCTAAGGTCAGGAACACCACAGGGATGTCCACTCTCACCATGTAGTACTGGAAGTCCTAGCCTCAGCAATCAGACAACGAAATGAAATAAAAGGCCTCCAAATTGGCAAGGAAGAAGTCAAACCTTCACTCTTTGTAGATGACATGATACTCTATGTGGAAAACCTGAAAGACTCCACCATGCTGAAGAGTTGAACTATTCAAAAATGTAAAAAATCAGAGTGGCTATAGAATAGGAGAAATCAAATTTCTCGAAAAGAGCAATTTTGCACCCTAAAACATTAGGATAGCCTCGAGTGCCAAATCAAAATACCCAGTTACTTATCAACTGAGCAAAAGGAGTAGAGATGAATAGTTACAGCTAACCTGGTTCCCTTATGAGGTCCTGATTAATCCTGTTCACACAGGCTTAAGCAAGCTTAATTATGAAGAATTCATAGGAGCCAGAGCATAATTAAGCCAGAATATACTTAACTATGAGTGGCACAAATTTTTATATTCATTGGGAAACAAACTATTTTCCATGACCCCCAACATATATGTGCATGAAGTTTTAAGCCATCTTTTTTTGCCTTCGTTTACAGCTATGCCTGAGAGAGAGATGTGGGTTCAGCTCCAGATGGCCACAAATACCACAATGAAGCAGGTCAAAAAAATTTTTGGTTTCCCAGTGTGTATAAGAGTTATGTTTACACTAGAGCACTAGAGTGTAGTCTATTAAATGTGCAATAGTGTATCTAAACAAAGAATCGTGCATACCTTAATTTTAAAATACTTTACTGCTAAAAAAATGCTAACCATCATCTGAGCTTTCAGTGAGTCGTGGACAGTCCTGACTCCATGCTGATGGCAGCTGCTGACGGCTTGGGTGGCTGTGACGCCCAAAATGGGGGCGCCAGGGTGGCTCAGTTGGTTGAACACCTGACTTCGGCTCGGGTCACGGTCTCATGGCTCATGAATTCGAGCCCTCCATCAGGCTATCTGCACAGAGCCCACTTGAGATCCTCTGTCTACCTCTCTCTCTGCCTCTCTCAAAAATAAACAAACATGTAAAACATTTTTTTAAAAAGACAATGAAGTTTGCCACATCGACTGACTTCCTCTCATGAGCGATTTCTCCGGAGCACGGGATTCTGGGCAGTAGCATTTTACCCACAGTAGAACTTCTTTCAAAGTCAGAACCCATCCCCTTGAACCCTGCTGCTGCTCTATCAACTAAGTGTACATCATATTCTAAATCCTTTGTTGTCGTGTCAACAATCTGCCTGGCATCTTCACCCAGAGTAGACCCCATCTCAAGAAAGCACTTTCTGTGCTCATCCATGAGCAGCAACTCTTCAGTCATTCAAGTTGGATCACGAGCCTGCAGGAATTCGGGCACCTCTCCAGGCTCCATGTCTGATTCTAGTCACCTTGCCATTTCCACCACAGCTGCACTTCCCTCCTTCCTCCACGGAAGTCTTGAACCTCCAACACTGTAAATAATGCAGTATCTGCCACGTGCAATAAAGCGAGGTAGGCCTGTATGGTGCTGGTCCACTGCTACTATTGCATATAGACTTTAAAACATAAATAAAACTAATTGGAAAAATAAATCCATTAAAAGCAATTCTGAATGTTTCCTTTGTTACCCTTTGCAGCCTTTGGCTGCATAATTAATGTGTTATAACTGGAATCCTTGGCCTGTCTTGTGCATCTTTCTTGGGTAGGTGGAATCCATCAGAGATAAAGCATTAAGTTAATGCAAATAAATTATAAGCTCTCTTCAATCCATTTTAATCAGCCGCCTTTGCCCTGTCTCCAATATTCTTATCCTTGGCCACTCCCCTAATTTAGTTATCGTACTGAAATTGTACAGTATCCCTAATCCTGTGGTAAACCAGTGCTTTTATCATCTGTGTGATCTAATTTTTCTCACCATGACCAAAAGTCAAAGGGGAGTGCTTCTAAATTCTACCTAGAATACCATGTTGCCAAAACTCAATTCTACTCATAACAGAGAAGAGAGGCAAGAAAATCTGTATTTTATTGTTGTATTTTTAAGGAGTGTTATGTCATTGCAACATGTTTTCATTACCATTGTGCCTGTTTTGATATACTTGTCCATGAAAGAGTGTAAAAATAGTTATTGATTTTGGCACTAAAAACGTATGATTTTAGTAAAATAAAAATTTAGGCTGGTATGATTGTTATATACGGCAGTCTTTCTTTAAAAGAAAAAAATTCGAGCACAAGCTTCAATCACTATTATGATATAGTCCACATTTTACAATAGAGTTATTTGAGAAAATACATTAAAATTATACACATACGCACGCACACACACACTTTTTAGACAGCTTTTAAACAAGACTTTTTAAAAAGTGCTCTTGATCTAAATTCTATTTCTCTATTCCTGTAGAGTTCTGTAGAGTGGCATGTTGGCTGCTTGTGTCAATGTCGGTCCCTGGAATAAGATTATCATCTTCTCCTTCAATTAAAGAATCCCACTGATCAAAATCTTTCTGCAGTCCTGGAAAAGAAAAAGGTTAATAATAAGCATATGAAACTTTTGAGAGTATGAGACAGCTCAGTGCCTCTAGGTGGCAGCACAGCTTCACAAATGATGCCACAAATGTCCACCAAGTCTGCACAGAGAAACTATTAGCTTTAATAGGTAGACAGGGAGCCTGGGTGGCTCACCCGGTTAACCGTCTGACTTCAAGTCATGGTCTCATGGTTTGTGGGTTCAAGCCCCCATGTTGAGCTCTGTGCTGACAGCTCAGAGCCTGGAGCCTGCTTCAGATTCTGTCTCTCTCTCTTTGCCTCTCTCCTGTTCCTGCTCTGCCTCAAAAATAAACAAACATTAACACGTTGGCTTCCTATCTGTGATGTGTAGCATGAGAAGCAGCAAAACTCAATTTCTCAAGTTTCTTTCTTCAAACTGATTTACTGCTATGTTACACTGTAAACCAACTGGAGACAGTTAAAATGAGACTAAGGCTGTAATAAGACAGTTTTGTCTTAAGAATCATCTGGTTTATGTCATGAAATACCCTTAGTTTCTTACCTAAATGCTTTTGTAAGAATGCTAATGAAGCTTTGTTGCTAAGATCAATTGCTACATTTGAATCGATATCTCCTTTTAAAGTGAATATGTATCCAATTATTTTGCCAGTTGCAAAGGTGAAATCCGCAAAATTCTGATGGACTGAACCCCTGGAGGAGAAATGAGAGGTTTATAAATCACACTGTTTGACAAAATTATTTTTGTACTTAGGGTGCAAGAAGGATACCAATCTAGGTAGCCTGTTGACTGAAAACTAAGGGAACAAAACTTGTAGATTTGATCTCTGTAGATGTACTTGTGGGTCACAGGCTGTGCCTCTTATATATTCATCTTCCCCTCTAGAT